ATGAAGTGTGGCGAAAGTGACAGGACGCGTTCTGCTTCTCGCTCTCTTCCCCCCCCGCCCCCCCCCTTCACGCTTCCTGAGCGAACAGCACGAAAAACGGTTTGCAGTTCTGGTTTACTGTGCGGAATCCAGCGTATTCGATCAGCGCTGAAAACCACTTACCAAAAACTAAAATACGCCCGTTGTCAAGGAATCCTCACCGATGATGCGCTGCGATAGAAAGTGTACGGAAATGTGGAGATGCTCTTCCGAAGGAATGGTGTTCTGGTCCCGGTACTAATCGGGGATCCAAGTAAGCTCAACAACAGCCCAAAGAAAGGCGCGGGAGGGACCCCCAGGGCATATGAGAAAGTCATTGGGATGTAGATGCATGTGTTCAAGCAGGTAAGGACCAATTATAGCTGTGAGTTGACTTGTTGTGATTGGTGACACCAGGCGAACACACATGTCAAAGCACATTCGGCAATTAGGCGCCTTGGATGCGTGAAAAAAATAGCGGTTTGCATAAGCAGATAACCTCTGATTTCGAAACAGCTCTTCGTTTGTATTTTCCTTAATCTCCTGGATGTTTCGTAGATCTAATCATGAATTCCTTGAAGACTTTTTTCTACAACGAATTGATGCATACTGTCTTCGTGAGTGTCCGAGTTTTGAACAGACAAGAGTACACTGAACCCTTCTGTATTACAAATGGATGCGAGGAGTGGTTAAGGGCAACATTCCGCGAGAAATCAGCTCATGATCTCACTGTTGATACTGGAGGAGACGAACCAGAAGGGCAGATTGATTGAGTGGCCTAATGGTCAAATGTGAAAACGCAAGAACTCGCTGAAGCTCGGCAATTTAGGCCATGACACCTTTTAGGGCCCATGCACGCCTCACCCGGCTGCTAGGTACTAGCTAGTGAGGCCACTACGTTATCTTTATCTATAAATTCGATGCTTTCGGCTGACTGCTTTTCTCAGCTACAGATAATTAGCACTTTTTTGCGCCTTTTGGTTGCCGTTTCCCGGCAAATGCGGTCGCGAAACTGTAGCTTAAAGGAAAACTTATAAAACACTACCGGGGTGTTCTGGATCCCATGTGTGAGGGGGAAAGGGTGTGTACAGGCTAAGTGCAGCTCGCTCCTCCCACTCAAAAGTGCACGGAAACGAGGCAATAGGATAGCGACATCTAGGTGTTGTCTCCCAACCCCCTCCGCGGCATCTTCAATGTGCAGCACTTGCACAGAAACCAAATCCGCAACGAGCATGCGGTGAAAGATAGAATGCAACAGATGTGAGAGGGCGCAGACAAGTAAAGCATATGGCTATGGTCAGGCTTGCTGTTGGCCGTGCGGTAGCGAGGGAGATTATGGAGGCCTCCGAGCACAGTGCAGCTCCGTTCCTGTCAAGGGTTGACCGCAGAAAGTGGAACCCTACTGCAGCTGCGGACCAATTCATCTCGCACATGAAAAGGATTGTCATCATAGGTGAGTGCACATTTTGTCTTCAAGAGCAGTATTTGGATTGTTGAGAGGAAAAGAATGAGGAATGGGAATTTTTAGAGAGACATGCCATGATCACCTAAGAGGCCGGATAGTTTCCGTTATATAAACTACGGTTGCTTACTCTATGTCACTTCTGCTAGTCGAAAATCCGTGGCTTGGGGGCCATGGGTTCGCGATGGCAAAGACTCTTCCCTGTAGCAAGTGCAGATGTTTACAATGTCCGCTTTCTTGGGTTTGATCTATGTTCTGAACTTTTCAGGGGCTGCTATTTGACTCTCGTCTGAGCTTCCTGGTCTCTTACTTTAGCGTCCCTCTGTCTTTGGTTCCCTTTGCTTATGCTGAAAATTAAACGCGCCTCAGATTAGCCGGGGCATTTTTGACGGCGACTACTGTTATTTGTTGATAAGTTAATTGTCATAAACATAGGCTTGATCGCTAGGGACACAGGAGCGTCTGACGGGGGCTGGGTTCGGAGCGGCGCCAGGCTGTTTTTCACCAACTGCTGTTGCCTGCAAGCTTCGCGAGCTGCTGGAGGACAGGCTGGCTGGGCGTCAGACCCGCCAGGCTGTCCTCCAGCAGCTCCAGCTCTTCTGAAACGCCCTAGCATCCACAGCGAGCAAAACTGTACTATGTTTATATCCCACAACCCATGAGTTCCAATAGCGGATCATGCCGCTAGAGAAAAGCTGTACCCTTCCTTACCTGTGAGACTGATTTTATCCAGTAAAGGGAGCAGGCTCGCAACTCTGGAAACGTACCACCATCGCTATTTTTGCCATATGCAAGTCTGTGGTAAAGTTGAAGTCCGCTATTGATCCCACCCTAATTCCATTACAATATTACCGTGTGACAAGTGAATGTGCATGGGCTCAGCAAAGAACCCGGGGAGCATTCTTTGTGCCCTAGGTCCGTCTATCGAGCAGATCACTTCTCTGAAAAGAGGTAATGTTTTGGCGCCTGTCGTGTCGCTGAGGTTCCTACCTCCACATCTTGCTCCGACGAGGTTGCTTAATGCTAAATCCCAATCCTAATCGAGAGGATTCTTATTTAGATCACTTTCACCAAATTATTCAGTTTTCATTTCATATTTGAACTTCAATGCAAACAGGCTATCAGGCGCTATTCCCTTGTCTTACTAGGGAAGGTCGTCAGGTCGAAGTGGCCATTTGTAATGAGATCACTAGACGTGGTTTTGGACGCTGATCTCGAATCTGCCTTCGAAATTTGCAGAACGATTCTCTGAACGGAATTATGAAGGTTTGTTAGAATTAAAATGAAGGAAACAGAGTCGAGCGCGGTTGCCGGCCAATTCGCATGAATAGCCGGGAAGCACCACTACGATCAACGGTGGCATGGTGTAGTGGTAATGGTCTTGCTTCGCGGGCATGCTATGAAGGGTT